GTAGAGCCAGAGAAAGAGAGAGAGAGAGAGAGAGAGAGAGAGAGAGAGAGAGAGAGAGAAAGGTCTTCCATTCACTGGTTCACTCCCCAAATGACAGCAACGGCAAGAGCTGAGCTGATCCGAAGCCAGGAACCAGGAGCTTCTTCTTGCTCTCCCATACGGGTACAGGGGCCCAAGGACTTGGGCCATCTTCCACTGCTTTCCTAGGTGATAGCAGAGAGCTGGATTGGAAGTGGAGCAGCCAGGACTCAAACTGGCATCCATATGGGATGCTGGCACTGCAGGCTGTGGCTTTAGCCCGCTGCACCACAGTGCCAGCCCTAAGTCCCCTGTTATTAAGATATATCTTTGGGTAAAATGCTGATTAATTTTTCTTCTCCTGGTAGAATGGAGGCTACAAACAAACATTAGTATAACATAGAAATTGTTTTATTGCTCTTGAATTATGTGGACTGAGATCTATATCTTCTGGCAAAATAACCTGGCCAACCTCTGTAATATCTTAGTGTACTTTGATCCAGTGAATTCACGTCATAGAAGACATAAGAAATGTGGTCTTAAAAAATGAATAAATGAAGTTGAGAGGGAAAATGGCTGCCTTCCCCTCATGTTTTTGTGTGTGTGCAAAAGTCAACTTTCACATCATGTACTGTTCTAAAACTCTTCTTCTTAAGATTTTTAAATGGTGGAGTAATTTCTGATAATATTATTATATATATTCCAATATCCTGCAATTGCTTGCTCTAATAAGCACAGTGTATTTACCTTGCAGAAAAATGAGCAGTTTGTTTCCATGTATGCATTTAAAACACCTTACTAACTATCCCCCATAAGGGAGGTATTCTCCACAAAGGAGGTGCCTACAAGATGAATGGCCAGTAATGGATTTCCCTGTCTGTTCCACTGGAATCTCATGAACAACATGTCCAAAGTAGAACTCATTCCCAATCCCTAAATGCACTACTGCTTCATCCCTTAATTGGCTAACGTCAACTTCATTCATTTAGTCATCAGGCCAAGTGCTCCAGAGTCTTCTGGAATGGGGCTTCTCAAAACACAGTCCTCAGGGGCGGGCTAGACCACAGAATACCATTATAGTAAGGTGCGTCAGAAACTTTTATCACAATTTGACATTTTCGCAACATCCAAACATGTGATCCTTTTCCCTTTGTTTCATTTTGCCAAATATTGGTCCACATAGGGTCAGAAATTCTAAAACTGGACTTCACTGAGATAGTTTGAGAAACACCATTCTAGACCACTTCTCACTATCTAGGTGGATGTGGATTCTGTAATACTTACCTAGCATATAACAAATCCATTCTCCTCTTTCCCGAAGTGTAGGGGCTCATTTCTTACCCGGACTATGACAATGGCCAGATTCACTTTTCTTTTCCCTCTCAAGCCTATCCACTCCTCCTTCAGCCATACTGCCTCCAGAGCACCCAAATAAGAAGTGAATACCATCATATACTTTCTTCCGTAAAATACTCCAGTGGTTCTGTTAACCACAGAATTAAGCACATGTTCCTTTGAATATGTGTAAGGCACTCCATAATTTGAACCCATTTTATTTTATTTTAGTTTTATCTTCTATCACTGTCTGCTCTGTTGCCTATTCACCAGGCACATCAAACTTAATTGATTTACTAACCACATCTTACTTTTGCAGATGTCTACAACTCCAAACCTTCTATTCTATGTAGCTATGATAATTTTATCTGCATTTGTTCGTTGGAAAAATCCTTCCTTTCTGTAAAAGTTCACTCAACAGAATCAAATTTAGGTTGGGATAATGGGAAGAGGACACGGTTCATTGGCACATCTAGGTCAGAGTCCAAAATTTGGAGTATTTCTGACATAAATGGAACAGTGGGAATGGCTCTGGGAAAATACAGTCTTCAGAGACAAGAACCCAGTAGAATGTATCCAAGAACACATTGTGGTGTTTTTAGGAGCAAATTTCTATGTCGAGAGAAATGTCACAAGACGTTCCCCAGAAATAAGTGCTAGAGGAAGAAGTAGGATCTAGAACTAAAATACTATCTAAATCTTCAACAAGAGTAGGAAATATTGTGCTACAACTACACTGAGATCTGCTAGATGCCTTGCTGATGCTCCAGCTAGCTTTCACTTCTACTTGCCCCATATGCAAAAGTTCTCACTCTGAGATGCTTTATGTCAAGTAATCTGGTGTGTTTTGCTCAGACATCATCATGTCTTATCTTCTTGCTACAGTTTGCTAATGTGTGCATACTTTTTATCCACTTGTATGCTGGTATACTTATTGGCTGTTAACTCACTGTATTGTATTGCATTTTATTTATTTATTTGTTTACATATCCCCCACTCTACTAGTTTATGAGCTTCTGAAGTACAAGAACATGTTCTATTTACCTTCATATTCTCAATGCCTAGCACAGCTCATTAGGGTGTAACTAGCATTTAAGCAGTGTTTATTGAGTGAATTATTAACTGCATATATGGGTGCTTGTTTATGTCATTTAAGGAACTAGGTGGAGAAAAATCTTTTGGCCACCCTTTAGTAAGCTTCATAATTGACTATAGAAACTTGTGCAATGTCACATCCAGGAAATTGTCATTTGACTTCATGTTTCCAGTGATCACTTTGCAAGGGAAATAAATCTACAATTAGTACACAATATTGACAAAATATTCTGGGAAAAGAAGTTTAGGGTTTGGTCCATATGAGAAACTGAATTATCCAGATTATGAATGAATCCAGTCCAGAGGTCAGTAAACTTTTTCTCTAATGGTTCAGACAGTAAATATCTTAGGCTTTGCTGTGCAGTCTCTGTTGCATCTACACTCATTCTGCATTTGTAGTGTATAAGAAACCACAGTCAATGCATGAATGAATGAGTGGGACAGTGTTACAATAAAACTTTATTTACAAAAAAAGGCAGTGGGCTAAATTTGGCCTGTGTGATATGGTTTGTGCGCCATTGATTTAGTCTATTCTTTCAATACTTAGTTATTAAAGATCTTGGTGTGGGAAAAAAGAATTGATTCTGGTGGCCACTATATACCTTGAGCTGGTCACTTGACATCATCATTCCATTTACTTCTTACAACAGTCTGTTAGACGTATGGTTTTACCTCACTTAAAAAATTAGAATGAAGTTCAAAATACTTCAGTGATTTGATAAGATCATGCAGATAATAAACAATGTTTGCTTTCAATTTCAACCAGATCAAGGTCATCACAAAACTCCGGTTTCCTTCACTAAAATGCAGTCTCTATACTCTGTTGACCCTTTGTTGTGGGATGTACGTTGTGGCAGGTGTCAAGCAGTCTGTGATGAGTGAGGAGAGGCAAGGTTGTGCTCGGGTGATAACCCTAGTAATCTCAAGTACCTGAATTACCAGCGTGGGCTGTGAAATATCCACTGTGTGTGAGACTTAGATTTAGGGCCAAATGGATATTGTTTTGTGATTTCAATTAGGATTTAGTCATTTTCCGTAGACAGTGCAGGCTGTGCACACAGGGGACTCTTGGTCACACTCATTTGTCCCAGATTGGCACTCTTGAGACTCAGGCCAAGGGAGCCCCCAGCCCCTGTGCAATCTCTAGCACCTATGGCAGGCAAGAAGAGAACAGGGCAGTTTTTTTCACACATTTTCTAGGCTTTTTCTAAACTAAAAACACATTAGTTTCACTTATCTTTCACTGGCTAAAATGATTCAGATAGTTTTTTACCTAACATCAACAGGGGCATAGAGTTGTGCCATGCACCCAAGATAAAAAGACGATACATAAAAGTGAATAGCACTAATGAATACCAAGACTTTAACAGGAAAATTAAAATTTTTTGCCAAGTAGTTTAAATGTCAAAAGTTTTTATATCTGAAATTATGCCAATGTGTGTGGGAGAAAGCGGAGGTCCAGACGCCTTCAGAACATATTAATGTTAATATCACCTTATGTATTAATTACAAAAACATTCTTTCCTGGCTTGTTTACTCCATTGTATATTTGGATAGTGAGTTCCTTCTCCAAATATTTTGGTAATGGAAACAGCATCATTCCACAAAGTATGGGATTAGTGTGGAATGGAGGTTTAAACAGAACTTGGTAATGTTAGAAGTAGTATACGACAATGCAGTTTTTTTTTTTAAGATTTATTTTATTTATTTGAAAGGCAAAGTTACAGAGAGATGTAGAGACAGTGAGAGAGGTCTTCCATCTGCTGGTTCACTCTCCAGATGGCCGCAACAGCCGGAGCTGCGCTGATCTGAAGCCAGGAGCTTCCTCCGGGTCTCCCACACCGGTGCAGGGGCCCAAGGACCTAGGCCATCTTCCACTGCTATCCCAGGCCACAGCAGAGAGCTGGATCAGAAGAGGAGCAGCGGGGGCTAGAACCGGTACCCATATGGGATGCTGGCACTTCAGGCCAAGGCTTTAACCTGCTATGCCACAGAAAGACAGTGTGGAAATAAAATTGTCAATTTAGAAACTGTTAATTAAGGAACAGAATAAAGGTAAACTTGGCTCTTCAGATGTGTTTAATACAGAGCCCAGATTCTGAACTCAATTACTCCTATGCAACCAATAGAACTAGGTCCTTTTTATTAGGTGTAAATGTATCTTATGTTATATCTCCCCCAACCCCCACAATGTGAGTAGGCACTGGAGAACCAGAGGGCAATTTGCAAGGGCTGCAAACCTGAGGCCAATTTTCAGGGAGCCTGCTCACTGGCTGAAAACCCACAGGGGGTTGTTCACACATCGTGAGAATATGGCTTCATTTATCACCATGGCCACCAAATGGCTAAAGGCTTCCAAAAATCTTCAGGGCTCATGCTAATTTCAATGTTTCTTCTCTCTGGTTTCTGTTAATACTTAGGAGGAGAAGCGTAGGGGGACAGAAGACACAGGGCCTTTCTGCCTCCACCCAGGAGGTTCTTGTGTGAGCGTGAGGGTGCTGTGTGCACTAATTCCACATGTCCACTCCTCGAACTTTTCTTTGTAGGGATCAGCCATGCTGCAGGGATTGAGCATGTTCAGCAGGGGCAGATGTCTGAGATGATTCCAAGTTTAGTATACCTGTCTCTCTGTAGAAGATACACCTGATGGATGTGGGCCTGGAAGTGCTGGTCTCAAGTTGTGGAGTCTTGTTAGGTAAATAAGAATTTTAGGGCTGGCTTTTTGGTGCAGTAGGTTTACTTACTCCTTGTGATGCTGGCATGCCATATTGGAGTGCTGGTTTGAGTCCTGGTGGTTCCACTTCCAATCCAGCTCCCTGCTAATGCAGCTGGGAAGGCAGCAGAGGATAGGGCAAGTACTTGGCCTCTGCAACCCACGTGGGAGACCAAGATGGAGTTCCTGGCTCCTGGCTTCAGACTGGCCCAGTTCCTGCAGCCATCTGGGGAGTGAACAAGTGAATGGAAGTTTGCACTTGCTCTCTCTCTTTCAAATAAATAACTCTTTAAAAAGCAGGTGAGACTTTTGACAAAAGAATGGTCTAAATTAATTCTTTAGGAAGGACAAATATTTCTTAGTTAATTTAGGGATCCAAGTAAGCAAGCATGCTCAAACCCTTCATTTTTCACTGGTTCTGCCTTGGATTCACTGTTGGTCTTCAGACTATTTCATTGTCTGTCTATGACTTCCTATAAATGAACATGGAAAAGTTCATAGAAATTCGTTTTTCTTATTAAAACAATAGAAGGTTAAGTTAAAAAATACTTCAGTGCATTTTTCTATGTTTCTTAGCCCAAAAAACAATTAAAAAAAAACCACAATCTTATAAAATCATGGCAACATAAGAAATGCCATGCTGCTCCAGACCAGTGGTGCATCCAGCCAGCAGCTTGTCCTTGGTTGTGATTCTAACCAACAAGTGTGTGTGTGTGTGTGTGTGTGTGTGTGTTGCAGGGTTTGGGGAATGCAGGGTGGTGCCCTTTTATGAAGCCAATCTCAAGTGAGCAAAGTATTTTTTAGCTTAATGAAGTTTCATGGGGCTGGAGTTGTGGCACAGCAGGTTAAGCTGCCACCTGAAATATCAGCATTCCAGCATATGGGTACCAGTTCCAGTCCTGGCTGCTCCACTTCTGATCCAGCTCCCTGTTAAGGTGCCTGGGAAAGCAGTAGAAGATGGCTCAAGTGCTTAGCCCCTGCATCCGTGTGGGAGACCTGGAAGAAGCTCCTGGCTCTGGCTTTGGATCAGCTCAGCTCTAGCCGTTCCGGTCATTTGGGTAGTAAACCAGTGGATGGATGATTTCTCTCTCTCTCTCTCTCTCTCTCTCTTTCTGGCTTTCAAATAAATCTTAAAAAAGTATGAAGGTGTCAACATGCTTGTGTTGTATTTTGAAGAGGGCTGTTGGGAAGAGAGTATTTCCCGCCTTTTCAGGTTCTGGAGGCTGCCTCCTTCCTTGGTTCATGGCTCTCTTCTATCCAGACCTTCAAAGCCAGCCATAGCTGGTTGAGTCTCACATAGCATCACTCTGACTCTCACTCTTCTGCCTCCCTTTTTCACTTGTAATGACCCTTGTGATAACACTGGGCCCACCTGGATAATTCAGGATAATCTCTTCAGTTCAAGGTTTATTGATCAACAACTTTAATTCTGTCTGTAATCTTAATCTCTCTTTACCATCTAACCTAACATATTTACAAGTTCTGGGCACATAGACCTTGACTGACATCTTTGGAGGAGGGAGCATTATTCTGCCCACCAGCCTGATCTGGACAATGCAGAAGGGGGATGCATCTCTCTAAAACCTAACATGCTTCTGTCACTACCTTAGAGGCAGGATAAAGAGTATTAGGTATAAATTCATGGACTTTCAGTGAGAGGGAATGGATTTTGAGAGCTGCTCCACCATCTACCAGCCACAAGAACTTGAGAAAGCAAAAGTTGTACCAGGAAAACTCTTAGCTTTCTACTAACTCCAACACATACTAATTATTTCATTTAGTAGGTAAGGGCAATACATTTTTAAATTCTGGTACTTAGAAAGGCTAGAATTTCTATTATGTACTTATTAGTTCAATGGAAAAGAGAATATATTGTGTACCAATATTTTTCCAACACTCCCTGCAACATATTTAAGCCAAGAGTAATGGTGTTATTTTTATGGGAACAAAAATGATGGTGACATTGACTCTGACATGTGTTCCCTGTGTAACCTCCCTACTCACCACACTGACTTGGTTAGGAACTTGTTCTCTACTTATACAATGAGATCAGTATCTTATCTTAAAACCAGAACATGTCATTGAAATAGGAATTACATGGTTTGCATTCTATAATAAAATATTTTTCCAAAGCCTTTGGAATCAGCTCTCACCTTCAACCTCCCCAGTAGGAACCAAAAAAGAATGTGAAGGTGCTAAAATAATAATAACAATAATTAAAAAAAATCCTGGAGCATCCCAGGAAGAGAAGCATTTTCCAATTCTAACCAATGCATATATGTGGATTGGATGATGCGACCTTAAGGCTGCTGATAGTGAACTGGGGCCGTTGTTCAAAATGCATTGAAATTCAGAGCCATATTTTCTGAACTGAGATAGCTGCTGAGATTTTAGAACACATATATTTTTAAAAAATGATATCAGGCCTATTTCTCTAACCATTTTATTTTTTCCTTCCAAAAACCATAGTAATAACCTTTTCTAACTACATAAAACTGCATTCATGCCAAAAAAATTGCAACAGCATATGCTAATTCAGTGCTCTAGTAACTTCATGACTTGATATTACCTTAGAATTGGAAACAGCCTTGAAAGAGGGCTTGGATCTGACCTTTTGAGCAAACCCTCACAAGGAAGGGAAGCAAGATTGCCTGTGTCAAAGCTCAGGACTCCACCTCCTGGCCAGGGGTGGGCAAGGTTCCTTTGAAGGATTTTGTCAAACTCCAGAGAAGGAAGAGGCCACAAGGAACACAGAAGATGAGAAGGTGAACACACCGCCTCTGTAACACGGGTGTATTTTGCTACCGGCCTGCAGACACATCATGATCGGTGACGAGCTCTTTGTGATCCGAGGGCAGCTGCAGGACTCCAGAGTTGTAGGCATTTTTCCTTTGAAAGCCTCATGAGGTTTCCTTCCCTGGGTCTCAAAAAGTAGCACAGGCTTTCTCCTGTGAGCGTTCTTTGAATTATGCTCATAATGAATACAGAGAGGAATGAGTTGCAGGGTGGAGGAGATGAATCAAACACTCTGCAAAGAACTGAGGGCCACTGATTATATCCAAACTACATTTGAAAAATCAACCTTTGGATCCATGGACATAAAGTTACATGATGTGTAACAATGCACATCACTGTGGCTGTCAAGGAGGGAAGAACCTGGAAAGGTAGATGAGATGTGAACATGATTTGATAGCAATACAAGGCAGCTCTCCATGAGTGTGTGTAGAGACCAAATGACCTTGTGCTTCCTATCACTTAATTTGTGCTGTTTATTGGAATCTCATCCGTCTTTAAGGTACACCCTCCAAGAAGCCTTCTGTGAGCACATTGAGAAGTGATCTTATTTTCATGACACTAGTTACTGCCTTTATGGCATCAAAACATTTACCTGTGTTTATATATTATAGTCAGCTGGAATATTTCTTCATTGCAGGGACTAAAACTAGGTATCCAGTTTCTTTCCAGTGTGTATTTCATGTTCTGTGTATAGTAGGAGTCCACCAATTTTTATCAAATGAAAAAATGAATACAGTAATTCTTGTTAAGTGCATAAATGAGAGGTGAGGTAAGAACTTAAAGTGATCACTCCTGGTTGGGATGTAGGAAAGTTTTATGGAGAAAGTAGTGATTAATTCCCTCTAGGGGGTTACTGTAAGATTAAAGTCCTTACTAATATTTTAAATTCATTGTACAAAAAATTAAAAGACTTGCACATCTCTGAATAGATGTCCATGGATATTACCATGATACCTCTTCATCAACCCCTTACCCCATATACTAAAGGATTTCTGACTTATGGTTCATTACAGTGCCTAGAACAGAATATCTTCAGTAAAAGTTGAACAAGTGATTGAATTGCCTTGATGAAGAAATTCAATTCAAATTTATATTGTCAATCAATACTACATTTTAGAAAGAATAAATTAAGTGGCCAACACTGTGGAGTAGCAGGTAAAGCCACCGCCTGAGGTGCTGGCATCTCATATGGGCACTGGTTCTAGTCCTGGCTGCTCCACTTCTGATCCAGCTTTCTGCTATGGCCTGGGAAAGCAGTAGAAGATGGCCCAAGTGCTTGGGCCTCTGCACCCATGTAGGAGACCCAGAAGAGGCTCCTGGCTCCTGATCAGCTCAGCTCTGGCCATTACAGCAGTGAACCAACAGATGGAAGATACCCTCCCCCCTTCTCTCTCTCTCTCTCTTTCTGTGTAACTCTGCCTTTCAAATAAATAAGTAAATCTTTAAAAAAAATAAATTAAGACTTTTTGGGACCTCCATTGCAACAGATGTATTTTTAAATTTCATTTCTTACAATAATTTGTGAGGTTGATATTATTCCCACAAGTTTTATAGGTAAAACTCTGGTCTCAGCTAGATGAACTAATTTGCCCAGGTCACACAGTCAATGCAAGAGAGGAAATTCGAATCTACATCTTACTGTTTGTGATCTTCCCATTTGTAGGAAGATGGGGATAAAGGGAATGACATAGGTATTTCTCCTTGCCTAGTCAGCTCACACTTTAAAATAGCAGCATTTTTCTCCTTTCTAATCTTGCTTGCCATGAGGTAAAGGCTTCTTCAACATCATCTTAAGAAGCTATTCTGACATTCCTTTTGAAGGCACTTGGGTCTCCCATCTCATGCGAACCCTCTGGGTTTACAGAAATGTTGATGAAATCTTTCCATCTTTTTCACTGCATTATTTCAAACTGTGCTTCATTTTTACATTAACACATCCTCTGGTATTATCCATATATATATATATATATATATATATATATATATATAAAGTAAACTAAATTCAGTGCTTCTTGTGCATCCTGATTGGCCAGACCAGATGGAGTGATTTCTGAACTAGAATTGAAAATCAAAACATAAGTGCTTTTTAAAGAGGTTGAAGTTTAGAAGCAACTGTTCATGGCAGACTTAGCTTTAATTCTAAGCGGGTTTGGGTTTGTTTCTAAGCTGTGTTTGACTATGGAATATTGGAACCTCTACCCTTACGCTGCTATATATGTATCACACATACATATTGCCCTTGACAAACAGGGGAGTGTAGTTAGAGCTCAGCTATAGAGTTTTAAAGGACAGTGTGGCTGTTAGGATCATAGTCATGGTAAGTGATAGTTGCTTTTTGTTTGTTTGCTTGCTTTTGATGTTCGAGATCTGAAATAAAGTGATGAATAGGTTCTGGGAGGTCTCCAAAGAATAAATCCTGAATAGTAATAC